CGATCCTGGGACTCCAGGATCATGACCTGAGCCGAAGGCAGTCGCTTAACCAACTGAGCCACCCAGGCGCCCAGGCCTTTAAATCATTTTGAGTTTATTTATGTGTATGGTATAAGAAACCGGTTCAGTCTCATTCTTTTGCATGCAGCTATCCAGTTTTCCCAACACCATTTTTTGAAGAGACTGACTTTTCCCCACTGTATATTCTTGCCTCCTGTGTCATAGACTAATTGACCATGTAAGTGTGGGTTTATTTCTGGGCTTCCTATTCTGTTCCATTGATCTATATGTCAGTTTTCGTGCCAGTACCATACCGTTTTGATTACTATAGCTTTGTAGTATATCTTGAAATCTCCAGCTTTGTTCTTCTTTCTCAATATTGCTTTGGCTTATTTGGGGTCTTTTGTGGTTCCATACAAATTTTAGGATTATTTGTTGTAGTTACATGAAAAATGATATTAGTATTCTGACAGATTACATTGAATCTGTAGACGGATTTGGGTAGTATGGATATTTTAGTAAGATTAATTCTTATTATCCATAAACATGGGATATCTTTCTACCTATTTGTGTCATCTTCAATGTCTTTCATCAGTGTCTTCTAGTTTTCAGCATACAGGTCTTTCACCTCCTTGGTTAAATTTATTAGTAGGTATCTTATTCTTTTTGATGTAACTGTAAATGGAAGTATTCTCTTATTTCTCTTTCTGCTAATTCGTTATTTGTATAGAAATACAACAGAGTTCTGCTAATTAATTCTGTGTCCTGTGACTTTACTGAATTTATTTATTAGTTCTAATAGTTTTTTGATGGATTTTTAAAATTTTTTATTGTTATGTTAATCCCCATACATTACATCATTAGTTTTAGATGTAGTGTTCCATGATTCATTGTTTGTGCATAACACCCAGTGCTCCATGCAGAACGTGCCCTCTTTAATACCCATCACCAGGCTAACCCATCCTCCCACCCTCCTCCCCTCTAGAACCCTCAGTTTGTTTTTCAGAGTCCATCGTCTCTCATGGTTCGTCTACCCCTCCAATTTCCCCCCTTCATTCTTCCCCTCCTGCTATCTTCTTCTTTTTTTTTTTCTTAACATATATTGCATTATTTGTTTCAAAGGTACAGATCTGAGATTCAACAGTCTTGCACAATTCACAGTGCTTACCAGAGCACATACCCTCCCCAGTGTCTATCACCCAGTCATCCCATCCCTCCCACCCCACCCCCCACTCCAGCAACCCTCAGTTTGTTTCCTGAGATTAAGAATTCCTCATATCAGTGAGGTCATATGATACATGTCTTTCTCTGTTTGACTTATTTCGCTCAGCATAATACCCTCCAGTTCCATCCACGTCGTTGCAGATGGCAAGATCTCATTCCTTTTGATGGCTGCATAATATTCCATTGTATATATATACCACATCTTCTTTATCCATTCATCTGTCGATGGACATTTGATGGATTTTTTATGGTTATCTATATATAGTATCATTTTGTCTGCAAATTGTGACAGTTTTACTTCTTCCTTACTAATTTGAATGCTTTTATTTCTTCTTGTCTGATTGTTGCATATTTTAACCATTTTTAAGGGTACATCTGATGGTAAAAAATTCCCTGTTTTCCTTTCTCTGAAATTGTCTTGATTTTTCCTTTATTCCTGAAGAATATTTTCACTGCATATAGAATTCTTCATTAACCATTGTTTTCTTTAAAAACAACACTTGAAAAATGTTGTACCTCTTCTTTCTGGCCTCCGTGGTTTCTGATGATGTCATTTAAATTGCTTTTTCCTTACAAGGACGTTGTCTTTTCTATCTTACTGCTTTCTGCCTTGCTTGTGCTGGCCAATGAAATGTCTGATATTAAACAGAGATATATTTGGAAAGCATCTTGTTCATTTGTGGATAACAAGTTTATTTTACAAGGATGCAAACTGAATAAACCTAATCTGTACTGCCCAATACTACAAGGAGAATTACAGATTTATACCAGAAATTTCCCCAAATAAAAATTTTAAGATTCTTCAAAATAAAAATGAAAAATCAGAGAATGAGTTTAATGCTGTGCATGTTTATAGTGAAATGCTGAAGTAGGACCTGAAAACATGTCATTCCAGACAGATAAGACTGTATTACCACCACAGCCCTCTCAGTCCTGTCTACTTATTAATAAAAACAGCAGTGTTGGCTACCGTATATTGATGCAGCATATATGTGACAGGCATTATGCTAAGTGCTATATGTATACTCTCTCATTTAATTCTGATAACTTTTCTGAGAGGTATTAGTATTCCCATTTTAGGTAGAGAAATAGAGAGGGAGTTAAGGAAGGTTGCCCAAAGCCACACTGCTGCTAAGAGCCACAGCCAGGATTCAAACTCAGCTTATGTAACCCCACAGTCTGCTCCCTGACCCCCCACCCTAGGATGCATGAGGAGCACAGAACAGCCTGATCTGCCTTGCCTCTCTCTTACTTTCCTGTCTCTCTAGTACAGCGATTCTCAAACTACCCTTGCAACATAATCCCTAGAGGGCATTATAAACAGATTGCTGGCCCCACCCCCAGAACTTCTAATTCAGAAAAGTCTTGATTGGGCTTGAAAATGTGTACTTCCAGCAGGTTCCCAAAGTATGAGTTATCCATTGCTGCATGACCAGCCTGACTTAGCTGGGTGCCTTTGGCTCAGAGTCTTTCTCAAGGCTGTAGTCAGTGTTTTGGCAATGGCAGCACTTATCTCAAGGCTGGATTGCAGGACTTGCTTCCATGCTTGCTCTGTGACAGGTCACAGATCCCTGCTGGCTGTTGGCTAGAGACATCGGTTTCCTGCCACATGAGCCTCTCCATAACACTCTTCACAGTGTGTCATTTGGCTTCCTGCAAAGCAAGGGGAATCCATGAGAGGCCCCCCCAAAATGAAGCCACAGCCTTTCTATAACATAATCTCAAAAGTGGCATCCCATCCCTTCTGCCATATTCTGTTCATTAGAAGTGAGTCACTAAGTCCAGCCCACTCTCAAGAAGAGAGGCTCAGACAAGGGCCTGCACCAACAAGGTGAGGTCTTTGGGGATCATCTTAGAGGCTGCTCACCATACTGGGTGCTGCTGCTTGTCTAGGGCCACACTTTGCAAACTGCCACTCTAATTAATGGCCTCAGAACAAGACCATTTTTCCTGAGAGCAAAGCTCTTTGGTAAGTAAATGGATATATGACTCTAGCAGGCTCCCAAGGTAGGAAAAGGGGTGGGAGGGGAGTTAACTCTTTTCTATTGAGCATACAGAAAAAACCAAGGTAAATTTCGCACTTAGAACACTCAGTCTCCAGCCAGCATTCTCTCTAACGGCCCAGAACCAAGCTATGAAAGTGCTAATGTTCTAAAGTTACGTTGAAAGAAAAGTTGAGGATAAAGCTGTCCTGGTGGCATGAAGAGACCCCAGCCAACAACTCAGGTACAGGCTGATAGAAGGCTAGGGAGTGGTGTGATGCAAAAGTCCAAGTTGCCTTCTAACTTGAAAATAAGTGAGCTCATCTTTAGTGGCAGTAAGTTGCATTCTTGTGGAAGTGCCAGTATCAGTTTGCTTGCCTTCCTTTCAGAAGGCTTAATGTCATTTACTTGCTGAATGGCATTAGGAGGACCCACCTTATTTATCTAATGTAAGTAGTGCATAAAAGTAAGTGTAAAGGGCATAAAAGGGAGCCTTGCATAGAGATGTACTCAGTTAACATCCATTTCTTTTGGGGGGACTTTGAGAGTTATAAAAGAGTCTGAGGTATTGTCCTTGCTTATTATGGAGTCATTCTGTCTACCTATGAAACAACAGGAATTTATACAATGTAGAATAGTGAATGGACATGGGGTTTAGAATCACAATATAATGACACACAGAGCTGTGTGAACTCAGGCAATCGCTGAAGCTTTCCAAGACTCTATCTGTAGGATAATACACCAGCTGTTTCTAACCCACAGTGGAGTTGGGGAGAGAAAACTAAATGAAAACACTTTTTAAACTTAGAGCAATATTTGGGAGCTGAAAAACCAAAATGAACAGTGATTTTTAAACCTTGGGTGCATATTAGAATCACCTGGAGAACTTTGAAAAGTCCGAGTTCCCAGGCTGTACCCCAAAACCATAAGAAACAATTATGCTTCCCCATCCTCCTCCTCTACGTTCTTTTCTCTCCCCATGGGAGTGTGTGCATACATACATATATATACATATGTATATGTATACATTATTTAAGGCAGACTCTTAAAATAGTTAAAAGAAATTTCACCTTTGTTTCCACCATTATTTTATATTATTTATACACAAAGTATTGGGGATGACATTCCAAAGAAGTGTTGTGAAAGAGGTGTCCTCCAGGGTGGGGTGGGGGCGGGGGTCATGGGACTTGAAGAACACCTGTGAACAAAAGAGCTTCATTTCCCTGCCTGTGGGTTGATTAGAACAGAAAGGATGGCCATGTCAACACAAATCTGAAGTATTCTGTTAGGAGGGACAGATTTTACTTTGAATTCAGTTACGGTGTCTGAGTGGATAACTAAACTGAGACAAAGTGAGGGTAGCACAGGTAAGGTGCAGCTGTGTGTACATTGAGTTAATGTCTGTGCCAAGAAAGAAGTAAGAAGTGCCTGAGTGTGTTTGTGTTCAAATTCTGTTCTCAGGGGATATTGTTTAAGCAGGAGCTTTTGCCCCAACTATTGACCTTTAAAAAGTTTCTAATGAGCAGGCCAAGTTCAGTGATTATTTTCAAGACTTTGTTTGATCAAGGTAGAAGACTTGATTTTTTGAAATAGTCTTGAAAGTGTAGATTTTAACAGAAACAAGATTTGTTTTATTCCTGATCTTCACATTTTCCAAAATTACTGTGAACAGAGTATTTCACTGGAATCTGTATTTTGGGGATTAACCAAAAGATGGGGTAATACCCAAAAAAAAAAACTGAGCAGAAAAAGGACACTGTGCCCAGTTGATATGTTCTCCTCTCTGCTCTCCAGAACCACATGTGGTGGGAAGAACAAGGCATGAAGCTCAGTTGCTCCCACAGTCAGAAAGCTTTTCACATAGAGCCATTCTCTACCACTGAGAGGGTGGCATGGACCCTCCCCTCCGTCTCTGCAGAGGATGTCCCCAGGGAGACTCCTTCACAACCCAGGAGCATCATTCCTCGGCACCCACGCATCAGTTTAGATGACCTGTGGCTGGAGAAGACGCAGAGAAGGAGGTTGAAGAAGCAGGTCCAGGTTGAAAGGAAGATGCACAAGGGAATAGCACATAAAGATGGAATCCATGCAGCTGTTCACATGCCATGTGTCATCAGACTTGGCCTGCTATCCCCTCTTCCTCTGCAGCTGCTTGCATTTCCTGAGCTCTCCCCTGACTCTGTCCTATGCTATAGCTTGTTACCCTTGGGCCCTCTGGATACAGCACTATGATGCCCCTCTCCAGCCCCTCCACCCCAGCACAGCCTGCAGGAGAGACTTTTCATAGTGGCATGTCCCAGAGCCAAAGGTTATGGCTCCTCTTCCCTCGCTGCAGTGTGTCTGTACCTGTGTCCAGCCCTTTGCAAGGTATTGGAGCAGAACTGAAGAAGGCAGGGCCAGCCCTCAAGCCTTTCTGTAGTAATTACCATTTACTGAGGACCTAGTCTGTGTCAAGCACTGTGTTAGACACTGAGCAGTATTAGCTCTATTATTAATAGAGGAGCATGACATTCTGATATAATATTTTTAATTAAGTTAATTAAAATTATATTATGTCAATTAAATGTTGTCTCTAGGGACATTTTGACACCATGATTTTTGCATGAAACTGTGAGCCTATTAAAAAATGACTTAATAGTGCATACACCATACCTTTTATCCAATCCCAGACTCTGTTTCTTCTTCTTTTCCTTTATGAAATAGCAGGTTTATACACATCCCTGAGTCTCCCTCATCTATGAAAGCCACCTTTTTTTAAATAAGATGAAATTCACATAACATAAAATTAACCATGTTAAAGTATACAATTCAGTGGCCTTTAGTAGATTCACAGGTTTTGCAAGCATCACCTCTATGTAGTTCCAAGACATTTTCATCATCTCAAAAGAAAACCTCATACCCATTAAGCACTCACTACCCATTTCACTTCCCCAGACCTGGCAAACACTAATCTACTTTCTGTCCCTGTGGATTTACCTACTCAGATATTTCATATAAGTGGAATCATATAATATATGACCTTTTGGGTCTGGCTTCTTTCACTTAGCATAATCTTTTTGAAATTCATCTATGTTATAGCATATATCAGTACTTCATTCCTTTTTAGGACTGAATAATATTCCATTGTATGGATATATTTGTTTGATTTCATTTATCCATTCATCCATTGATAGACATTTGGGTTGTCTCCACCTTTTGGCTATTGTAAATAGTGCTGTCAGGAACACTTGTGTACAAACGTTTGTTTGAATACATGTTTTCTATTCTTTTGGGTATACATCTAGAAGTGGAATTGCTGGGACATACGGCAATTCTATGATTAGCTTTTTGAGGAATTACCAAGCTGTTTTCTATACTGTTCACACCATTTAAATTTTTACCAGCAATGTATGAGGGTTGCAAGTTCTCCACATCTTCACCAATAGTTGTTTTCTGTCTTGTATTGTTTTGTTTAAATTATACCACCTAGTGGACCTGAATGGTACCTCATTGTGGTTTGATTTGCATTTTCCTAATGACTAATGTTGAACATATCTTCATATACTTGTTGGACATTTGTATATCTTCTTTGGAAAAATGTCTATTCAAGTTGTTTGCCCATTTTGTAGTTGGGTTGTCTTTTTGTTGTTGAGTTGTAAGGATTTTTTATATATGTGGATACTAGCCCCTTATTGGATTAATGATTTGCAGATATTTCCCCCCATCTGTAGGTTGTCTTTCACTTTCTTGATAGTGTCTACTGATGCACAAAAGTACTTAATTTGATATAACCCAATTTGCCTATTTTTTCTTTTGTTCTTGTGAATTTAATGTCATGTCTAAGAATCCATTACCAAATCCAAGGTTATGAACATTTACTTCTGTGCTTTCCTCTAAGAGTTTTTATAACTCTTGCTCTTACATTTGAGTTTTTTAATTATTTTGAAACTTTTTTGTGTGTTTTGTGTGAGGTTGAGGTCCAACTTCAATTTTTTCTATGAGAATATCTTGTTGTATCAGCAACATTCATTTGTTGAAGAAACTATCCTTTCCCTCACTGAATGGTCTTGGCACGCTTGTAAAAAAAAAAAATCAAATGACCTTAGATATATAGATTCATTTCTGGGGTCTCAATTCTGTTCCATTGGTCTGTATATCTATGCTTATGCCAGTACCACATTATTTTAATTACTGTAGTTTTGTATTAAGTTTGGAAGTTGGGATGTATGAGTTCCCTTTGCTACTTATATATATGGTATGGAAGGCTGTTGGGATTTTGTTAAGATTACAGTCACTAAATCCGGGGGCGCCTGCGTGGCTCCAAAGATTACACTAAATCCATAGATCACTTTGGAGAGTATTGCCATCTTAACAATATTAAATTTGAATCCATGAACACAGGTTTTTGTTCTGTTTTTTAGGAGTCCTTTAACTGCTTTTAGCAATTTTTTATAGTTTTCAATGTAGAAGTCTTACACCTCATTGGTTAAAATATTTCTTAAGTATTTTTTTCAAATTTTTAATTGACATATAGCTGACATACAGTATTAGTTTCAGATGGACAACATAGTGATTCGAGAGTTATATATATTATAAAATGCTCACCACAATGAGTGTAGTCATCATCTGTCATCATACAAGATTAGTGCAATATTATTGACGGTATTCCCTGTGCTGTACTTTTCATCCCCATTTCTTATTTATTTTATACCTGGATGTCTGTAGCTCTTGATCTCCTTCACTTATTTTGCCCACCAGTCCCCCTCCCCTCTGGCAACCACCAGTTTGTTCTCTGTTTCTGCTTTTTGTTTGTTTGTGTTTGTTCATTTCTTTTGATTTTTAGATTTCACATATAAGTGAAATAGTATGGATTTTTTTGATTTCAGTCTTTTTTGTGGCTGAGTAATGTTCTATTGTGTATATATATATGTAAATATATCACATCTTTATACATTCATCTATTGATAGACACTTAGGTTGCTTCCATATCTTGGCTATTGTAAATAATACTACAATAAACTAAGGGGTGCATATATCTTTGATTTAGTGTTTTTGTTTTCTTCGGGTAATACCTAATAGTGGAATTACTAGATTGTATGGTATTTCTATTTAGTTTTTTGAGGATTCTCCATACTGTCTTCTATGGTGCTTGCATCAACTTACATTCCCACTAACAGAGCACAAGTGTTCCCTTTTTTCTACATCCTAGCCAATACTTTTTATTTGTTGTCTTTTTGATAGTAACCATTCTGACAGGTGACAGATACCTCACTGTGACAGATACCTCACTGTGGTTTTGATTTGCATTTCCCTGACAATTAGTGATGTTGAGAATCTTTTCACATGTCTGTTGGCCATCTGTGTGTCTTCTTTGGAAAAATGTATATTTGGGTCCTCTGCCTAGGGTATATATTTGGAAATATATATATCTCACATCTTTATACATTCATCTATTGAGAGACACTTAGGTTGCTTCCATATCATGGCTATTGTAAATAATACTACAATTTATTTTATGAGGTCCTTCATAAAATAAATTGGAAAGTATTCTCTCCTCATCTACATTCTTTTTTTTTTAAAGATTTTTTTTAAATTTATTTATTTGAGACAGAGAGATACAGAGAGAGAGAGAGAGCATGAGCAGGGGGAGGTGCAGAGGGAGAGGGAGAAGCAGGCTCTCTGCTGAGCAGGGAGCCCGATGTGGGACTTGATCCCAGGGCGCTGGGATCATGACCTGAGCTGAAGGCAGAGGCTTAACCATCTGAGCCACCCAGGTGCCCTATATTCTTGAAAAGATTGATGAAATTGATTTTCTTTGTTCTGAAGTCTACCTTGATATTAATATATGCACTTCTTTTTTTGATTTATGTTTACATATACTTTTTACTTTCAACCTGTCATTAATTTGAAGTGAATTTCTTGTAAGAAACAATGTTGGATGTTTTTTTATCCATTATGCTTATCTCTTTTAATTGGTGTATTTGGCCATTGACATTTGAAATAATTACTGTGTTAGGGCTTCAGTCTGTCATTTTATTACTAGTTTCCTGATTCTTTCTCCTGTTTTCCAGTACTCTTTTCTTACTTTTCTGTCAGTTACATGAACATTTTTTAGGATTCCATCATAATTTACTTGTAGTATTTTTTTTAAAGATTTTATTTATTTATTTGTCAGAGAGACAGAACACAAGCAGGGGGAGAGGCAGGCAGAGGGAGAAGCAGGCTCCCCGCCGAGCAAGGAGCCCGATGTGGGACTCGATCCCAGGACCCTGGGATCATGACCTGAGCTGAAGGCAGTCGCTTAACCGACTGAGCCACCCAGGCATCCCATATTTGTAGTATTTTTTTAAAGATTTATTTATTTATTTGAGAGAGAGAGAGAGAACTTGTATGTGAGAGTTGGGAGAGGGGCCGAGGGAGACAATCTCAAGCAGGCTCCCTGCTGAGTGCGGAGCCTAACATGGGGCTTGATCTCACCAGTCATGAGATCATGACCTGTGCCAAACCAAGAGTCAGACGCTTAACCAACTGAGCCACCCAGGTGTCTCTCTGATATTTTTGAATATATGGTTCTGTATGGTTTTCTCAGTGGTTGCTAAAAGTATCATTGTATACATACATAACTAATCATTGTGTACTGTTATCAACATTTTATCACTTCCAATGAATCTTACTTCCACTGAAGTTCATTTACCCTCCCACTTATAAAATATAATTGTCTAAAGTGTTTTCTCTATATACATTGAGCACCATATCAAAGGTTTTTCTATTTTTTTTAGTCATCAAAAATGATTTGACATTCACGAGAAGTAGGATAGTTTATTACATTTATCCTAATTTTTACCCATGCCATTGTTCTTTCTTTATGAAAGTCCAGACTTTGTTTGTCATCATTTCCTTTCTCTTTAGAGAACTTCCTTTAGCTACCCTTTAAGGGTAAATTTGCCAACAATAAATCTTTTACTTTTCCTTCAACTAAAAATGTCTTTATTTTCCCTTCATCCTGAAGGAAAAAAAAATATAGGTTTGGCAGTTGACAGTTCTTTTCTTTCAGTACTTAAAATGTGTTGGGCCACTTCCTTCTGGCCTACATGGCTTCAGATGACAAA